CCGGTCCAGCCCGGCTGCCCCATCGCCCCGCCACCGGCTTCCCGTCTGCCTTGCACCTCCCGAGGATGGTTTCTCCCCTCAAAGCCCGAGGAGACGGGCAGCAGGTTCCTCCGCTGCGGGGAGCAGCACCCGGCTGGTGGTGTTTCTCGCGCTCCCCGCTCTCCTCCCGCTGCGCCTCCCCGCAGGCCTGCCTGCGAGCTCGCCCCTCTCCGCGCTCAAGAGCGTTTTCGCCCTTGCCTGGGTGGCTTCGCTCCCTCGCAGCTGCCACCAGGTAGACTGTTTCCTTGGCGTCGCTGCTAGTTACAGGCCTGCGCGGCGGTGGCACCCCACCTGGGGCGGGAATTATGCAGCAGGCAGCGGTGGCCGAGGCAGGACTGCTGGTTGCAGTCGTGTTAATGCTGTTATGAAACCCAACCTGCTGGTGAGGGGCTTTTTCTTTCTTTTCTTTTTTTCTTTTTTTCTCCTGTCAGCGCTGAGCATTATGAGAAGCTCGATCCGGATAAAGCCTTTGAGCCCTCCACAGAAATGAGGGAAACGGAAACAGCTTTTTGTCTCGAGGTGCAACGAGCTCCTGAATGTTCAAGGGGGAGGGAGATCTTCTTAGGCTGCTCCCCAACTCTGGTGCCTGGCTTTCTGTTCATTTTGGGAGGGATCCAGGGAAGAGGAATAACCGTCAGCAGAGTTTTACCTGCACAAAGATGCTCGTGGGCCTCTCTCCCCCCGGCCAGGAGCAGGCGGTGAAAGGGGGGAGCAGAGAGCACGCGCAGGCCCAGGTGCTCAGCCCCTGCAAGCAGGGACCAAGCAAGGAGCCGAGCCCAGCAGGATGCTGACCTTGCTTTTCCCGCACGTGGATGCAGGCTGCATCTTTCACAACTCAGGGCTCTGTCCCAAGAGCTTACTGTCTCGTGTTTGAGGTCAATGCTGAGCCAGGCAGCTGGATTAACTGAATGCGAGAGGCTGCTCCTTCCCTATAGCACCTATGTGACCTAGCAGTTTAAGCATTCGCTCTAGTTTTATATCTCTGAGATAGCCAGGCCACGCTCGTACAGCAGCCGGAGCTGCGAGAGCCCTGCCACACTCAGGGCATCACCTGCTGGCCTGGACGCCCCGGGGATGGGCCCTTCCTTCTCTAGCCGGCAGAGCAGAGGGTGACGCAGGTCCCGCGTCCCCACACGGAGATGCCTCTGTGCCCCCAGGGAGCAGCCGCGTCCGACAAGGCTGCCGGGAGGCCTGGCAGCGAACGGTGAGGTCCAGTGGTGGCTCTGAGACGGCAGCGTGGGAGGCAGCGTCTGGGCTGAGAGCTGGTACTCCGCGGAGAAGCAGGAGCGGGTTTCACGCTAGGCTGCCTTGTGCAAGGGAAACATAACCCAGAAGGGGCAGGGACTTCTCCTGCTGGCTTGTTAAAATATTGGTGGCTTGGGAAAAGCGTGGGTGGAAAAAGCTTTAAAGATGCATTTGTACTGGGATCACGTTGAGTTTTATAGTCTGGAGTTACCTCCTTGGAGGCAAGTCTGATCAATGCAGGCAGAATAAGCAGAACTTGACTTGAGGGGAACAAACTCGGGGAGGGAACGCCTGCCTGTCCATTGCAGTCCTGTGAGCTCCCACGTCGTCCTCAAAGCGCTACCGGGCTGGGGATGCTCTGTCCCACGTACTGTTAGTGCCGGGGCTGCGCAAGGGTGCAGGAATGGATGGAGGTGAGGGATGGACGTAGGCAGGCAGCTGGGTGATGCATGAGCTGCTGCAGGTTGGTGATGCCACCGTGACCAATGGC